TACTGTTGTAGGGTATTTTTTCTACAGTGGCTGACGCAATAACGCAAAAATGAAAAGGGTTCTATCTAGAGCCAGTGTTTGGTTTGTCCATTCTGGGCTGCTGTAGAAAACAGCCTGTGTAAAATAATGGACTTAGCCACCGTGGTGTTTGTAGACTCCTGTTTTGAAGCATCAGGTTTGGCATTTTCACCGTCGCCATCTTGCTTTTATAAAGCCAGAAGTATTTGGACAAGACAGTGGTGATAACCCGAACGATAGCTGTTAGCTTAGCTCAGTGCATTTACAGCTATGGTTAAGGCCTAGTGTGAAGGATTAAATGGAATATATTGGCAGAAATGGAAGATAATATATGTTTTCTTTACTGTATAATCACCCACAAATAAGAGCCATCGCATTCTCTTTACCTAAGAATGAGCCGTTTATATCTACATAACGAGCAGGTCCTTGTCCACAGAGACCGCCATGGGGCCATTTGTGTTTTCATGTCAGCGAACCCGGACTCACTCTGAAGTCGTCGTTAACCGGCGCTTGGTCAGTGACTCCCGGTGTCAGACAGTGAAGAAAGAAGCTGTCTTTTTACGCATCTTGATACGCGGCCGATTGGCATTATTGTTTAACGCCGCCTGGAGGGTTCAGGGGGAAACGCAACTGGACAACAACGAAAGTTAAGGCAGCAAAAGTCCAAGTTGGGTAGGTGGGAGGAGTGGTTGATTCGTCCAGTATGCACTGGCTTTCACCCACCAGTGTTCGTGTCCCATGTGATTGTAAAGCCCAACCCTGTTCTTTTTTTACGAAACCCAACCATGTGCTTTCATTGCCTATATCTAACCTTGGGCATGTGTTGGCAAAACATAACCACGTGTGTTCGTTGTTGAAGTAAAAAAACGTCAATTCGTGGTGTTGTACCAACGTATATTATTTTGAAAGAGATTGTATGTAAACCATAAATCTCCTGTGAAAACAGAAGTGTATCTTGCAAGAAGACAATGCATATAACAGGCAGAACTTGACACGGTGTCCCAGAACGTCAGCAACCAACGCAACCAGGGTACCTTTCACGTTGTATCTGGACGTGGAAAGTCTATGACCAAAACGTTGATACAGTATGTGACGAGGTCAGAGTGAAAATGTGTTGGTGTAAAACTGTAAAAACCTCCTGAACATCTGGAAAGTTCTCAGAGAAAAAAGCTGAGCACATACTAACTGCTAGCTATACTGCTAGCGGCCCGTCTGCAACTGATTTGTAACGTGAAACTGCTTTATTTAGTGTTTTGACCGGTTTAAATCACTTGGTCTGAATGTTTTTGAGAGAGGTCTCTCTGGATAATTTGTTTCCTTGTAAAAACCTTCTGAACAACAAACACTGAAGGAATCTTAACCATGAGTTCGTGCTTGGCACTTGAGAGATGTTTCGGCTGGTTCCAATCTGCAGTCCTCATGGCTCGATGCCACTAAATCCTACACACAATAATTCTGCTAATGCTAGTTTTCGCTAGTGAGAAACAGGCTTCCATTGAAACAGCAGGTACTTACCAGAAAAAACTGTACATCCCACTCCTCAGATGGTCTTATAGTACAAACAAATGCTGAACCAGACTTTTTTGGTGACTGAAAAAGTTACAATTACCTTTTTGTTTTTAATTAGGATGCTATAGACCTTTTTCTGTGTTCTTAATGAAGTCATTATCATTATTTTTTTTTTTTTATCATTATATACTGAAAATACACGAAAATAGCAACAGCTTTTCCTATACTCTGCGAATATGGGGTTACACCATATTTATGGTACCTAACCAACATTGTCGCTGAGGACTTGTCAACCGATGACAAGCGATGGCCAAATGAAGCCTCATGAACCACTTTCTTTATTTTCTGACCCCACCAGATGGCACTCTTGGTTTAAAGATAAAGGCTGAAGGACTGGCAATGAAGTGTGCTTTCAAACTGTTGTTGACCAGACAGCGCCATCTGGTGGCTTCAGAAAATAAAGACAGTGGTTCATGAGGCCTCATTTGACCATCACTACCGATGGCACCCACCTGTCATTAAAAGTGGCCACGCCCTTAATTGTACATAACTTTCAGCCTTGATAACATTTAAATGGATGAGTTATTTAAAAGTTCACATCCCGCACAGTTGTCACGAAGGTTACAATTAGCAATAGAGACCAAACCAGTTTTTGTACCAGGCTGTAAACATGTTTATGTCTGCTGTTATGTTGGGCATTTTAACATGGAGGTCTATGCAGATCTGGAGCCAGCCTCCAGTGGCCATTAGAGGAGCTGCGGTTTTTGGAACTATAGCAGTGGCTTCATTTTTCAGCACCAGACATCGCCACTTGTTTCTACTTAGAAATCTGCAGCAGTCATGCAGGATTTTAGACTCCATTTCTCCAACCAAGTCCCAGTCCTGTTTTCCTACTTGTATCAGTTTTAATTGTACTGGAGGTCAACTTTTCTTTAATGAGGACAGACAAGAGAAAGTGATGCATGATTTCACTTCATTTGAGGGATCAACACCCAGCAGCACAGCTCCTGTTGGCTCACTGTCACTTTTTAAAAGAATGGAGTTTGGGGTTGGAGGGTGGGGACCGGGGTGGGGGTGGTGGTGGTGTTTTGGATCGTGTTGTGATGGGGAGAAAGAAACAGGAGGAGGGATTTGCGGACCGGATAGCGCGGTGACATCAGCTTTGAAAAATGTGTGTGTGCAAGTGAGTGTGTCTGAGTGTGTGCCTGTGTCTGAGAAAAAAGCAGAATCAGGAGGGAGCAGGACAGGAAGAGCGCTCACTCTGTTCTTTTTTCTGAGGAGCAAATGACAGGAGGAAAGAAAAGAACTCTCTTTCAAAGGTGTTTTTGATAGTTTAACCCTTTCCTACTGCCCTCCCAATGCATGCTGGGATAAGCTCCAACATCCTCAGCCCCAAATAAAGTGTAAACACTAATGTTTCCACCGTGTCGGCAGGAAGACTTGTGCCATCTCTGCATGTGGCAATATTACCAGCAATTGTTGTCACATTTGCTGACCATCAGTATGTTTGACAACCAGCGTCTTTTACATTTGCTTAACTACGGTACTGAAAAAATTTGGAAATGGAATCTCCCCTTTGTTTTGGTTATTTTCTAAGGGGAGACTTTTAACACATACTTCCATTAACAAAATGGTTTCTGTTTTCAATTAACAGTAATAAAACATTTGTTCAATTAAAAATAAGCCTTTTGTCTGCATTCCTTAAAGGGTCACTGTGAATGATAATACTATAAATTCTGTAATATACCATGATTTTTTTTTTGTCAAACTCATAGGGAGCCACTGCTCAGATGTTTTGTGGCTCCATACAGATGTTTTTAAAAATGTTTAAAAACATGTTTAAAAACAAACAGTCATGTAACATTTATTTATTCCCTTTTTCCTTTTCATTTTTTTGTTTTTTTGACAAAGACATAAGGAGCCATTGCAGAGAGGATAAAGAGCAACATGTGACCCCGGAGCCACAGGTTGCCTACCCCTACGTTAAAACCTTTTTTTAATCGATGTATAGGCGACACTTTTTTTTTTTTTTAAACAAAATGTCTCTTTTAATAGTAAAGGTTGACGACCCCAGGCCTAGAACAGTGATGTATGAAAAATTAAAAATTTAAAGAAGTTATTTCTATTTTGTCTGACAAACCCATAAGGAGCCACCGTACAGGGGATGAAGAGCCACATGTGGCCCCAGAGCTGCAGGTTGCCTACCCCTGGCCTAGAACAATGATGTATGAAAAATAAATAAAAATGTTAAAAAAAAGAAGTTAATTATGTCCTTTTTTCTGTGACACTGCTCAAATATGCTTTGCAGATTTATACAAATTTTAAACCTTTTTTTTTTTTAAGCCAAAAATGTCTTTTTTAATAGTAAAGGTTGTTGACCCCTGGCCTCGAACAGCGATTTAAAATAAGTTATTTATGTCCTTATGCATGTGGACCCCTGTGTTAAAACTATGTATGAAAATAGTATGGTAAAATGGTAAAAATTAGTAATTTCCGTTTTTTGGACAAACCCATGGTGAGCCACATGTGGCCCCGCAGCTACAGGTTGCCTTCCCCTAGCCTAGAACAATGATGTATGAAAAATAAAAATGGTGAAAATAACAGTCATTTATTAAGTAAGAAGTAGCAAGAAGTAATTTATTTATTTATTTATTATTTAATTACTTATGGCTTTTTTAATAGTAAGGGTTGCTGACTCCTGTCCTAGAACAATTATGTATGAAAAATAAAAGATTTAAAGAAGTCATTTCTATTTTGTTTGACAAACCCTTAGGGAGCCACAGGTTGCTTGCCCCTGCGTTAAAAACCCCTGTGTTTTATATTGGTGTAAAGGCTACATATTTTTACAACTGGAGAATGTGAAATCACTTTAGGCCAAGAACAATGATGTATGAAAAATAAAAATGGTAAAAGTAACCGTTATTATTATTATTATTATTATTATTATTATTATTATTTTACAACACACAGGGATCCACTGTAGAGGGAATAATGAGCCAAATGTGGCTCTGGAGCCACAAGTTGCCTACTTCTGTGTTATAACCCTTTTTTTTAAAAAAAAAAAAAAAAAAAAGGTGTGTAGGCAACATATTTATACAATTCAAGAATGTAAAATTCCTTTAGGCCAAGAACAAAGATGTATGAAAAATGTCAAAAAGGAAGTTAATTATTTATTTTTTCTTTGACAAATCTGCTCAGATATGTTTTGCAGCATCAACAGATTTTTAAAATGGCTCTTTCAAAAGTAAAAGTTGCTGACCCTTGGCCGAGAACAACGATGTATGAAAAATAAAACAAAACAGTTATTGATTTCCTTTTTGAATTTTGAATTTTATTCATTTTTTGACAAAAAGATAGGGATCCACTTTAGAGGGGATAAATTCATCCAGTCATTGGGTGGTTTATTGACAGAGTGAGCGGTTGTGTGCAATAGACGATCTATGAACGAATCAGACAGCGTGCTTAACCGTGACCGGGAGAGAGAGAGAGGAAAAGGCGTTTCCACGGTACAGCAGCCGGTGACTGAGCAGCGGACAGTGGAGCAGACGGACCGAAAGCGGAATCACGACCATCCTAAAAGACATTTCTCTTTTAATCTCTCCAAACACCGACTGACAGCTCATCTCACCGGTGTCCCCTTCACGGCCGCGTTTCCCCACGCTCATGAAACACACTCAAATCCATCACTGACCCACTTCACACCGCAAAAGTGAACCGACACTGACGGAGTGGACTTTTTTCTTCTACCTTTCCTGCAGCACGTCTGTCCTCTCCCGGGCCGAAATTAAAACCCCACAGAGCTGCTTTCTGTGAGAGCCAGAGGAGATTACCTTCCCGCAGACTCCCGCATCTCTCTCCCTTTAACTGTAGCTGACTCATATCTGCTGCGCTCGGGGTGAGTACGTCTCTTTTTCTGCACACAGCTCTCTGTCTTCATGGCTCAGATGTTTCTTTAAGTCCAAATCCTCCCGGGTGTAGCTCATTAATGTGCTGGGAGTCAGTCAGCCTCCTCCATTCATGGATATGGATCATGTCTGTCCTCGCATACCGTTACATGATGGCTGTGTGCGAGGGAGACTCGCCTACTTCACAGCCGGCATGTAAAAACTAGTTTTGGCATCAACTAGGAGAGGGAAAAGTTGGAGAGATGGGGCGTTCATGGGCCTCATAGACATATAAAAATATGCATATTTATTTTTTTTTGAGTGTGATACACTCTAATAGACATTCTGGCACTCGAAGAACACTCCTGATATTTTTAAAAAAAAAATGGGAAAAAATGGCTTAAAAATTAAATAAAAAAATCCGCTTTCTTTCTATCTGTAAAAAATGCTGTGAATTAACAAGCCATGTGAAATGCACCCTGTTGACACGACTCAGTCATGAACTTGACTGTTAAGTGGCACGTTGGTGAATTTCCCATCCTCAAGAGGGCATTTAACACACCATTGATTAAACTAATTGGATTGGGTTTAGTGTCGCTGGAGGCGTTCACGTATCCACTGTCCTTTTCATTACCTCGCAGCCAAATATTCCCATAATACTCCAATTGAAGCTTGATTTGGATTTGATTATCATGTGTCCTCCTATTGATTTATGGTTAGCTGATTTATTTATATATTATGAGCGTATCAGGAGCCTGTTCTCTGAGTGGTCTGGGATGTTTATGCTGGGTCATATCTGTATTCGTAAAGGTCACCGCAGCCACATTATCAGGAACGTCCTGCCTCTAAACCCACACAATATTCAGCCAGAGGAAAGAGGTGACCACCTGTGACCGTCCCGGATGGCTATGAGTGTGTGTGTGTGTATGTGTGTGTGTGTGTGTGTGTGTGGGTGGGGGTGTGTATGTGTGTGTGAGCGGATGGGGAAGGGGTGGGTCTTTTATGAATGGATGTGTCTGGCCTGCCAGCACTAGGCTGTAAGTGTGTGTGTGTGTGTGTGTGTGCTGGGAGGGGTGAGAGTGACTAGTACTCCTCTCCCTCACCAGTAGCTGGTTTATATCACTGTACTGTGTATTTTTTGATCTCCTGATAGTGGCCTACAGTTTTAAAGGCATTGATATAATGGGTAAAAGGAACACGAGGGGCAAAAGAGGCCTGTTGTGTGAATTTCAGGCATGCTGTTAAAGGTAAAACAAGACAAAATAGCTTTTGTTTTGCTTAAAATTGCGTCAGTTCTTTGAAACTCATATTTGTGCAATAAATAGAACGGCAGCGTTAAATTTAAAGCAGTGAAAGCCACTGGGATTTTGATCATTTTGACATGTTATAGTGTATTTTTGCTATGTGGAACTTGTCCGTAGTGTTGTCCTATCACGATGTTTACTTTCTCATGTGGGAAATGCTAACTCATTTCCTCAAACCTGGAAATGAGTTAGCATTCTTCACCCCTGGTTCCCTCGTATTGAAGTCAATGGGCCGTTTTGGTTAGGTGCCTGAAATAAGGTCCATGGTTAACACAAGCTTAGACTTTCACGTTTTATAGTCATTATATCGCCCAGCCCGAGACGTCATCATGTTGAACATGGCTTCACAACCCTCTTTGGTGGCGACGTTGTCATGTGACCGTGGTGTAGTTCGTTTATAGCCTAGCGTTAGGTTTTTACTCCTCACGATTGCATTTAGGCTTCCAAAATCATGAAAGTGGTGTTCATTTGTGGAGATTATCTTGCTGAATAAAACATACAAGTATCATAAACGTTTGTTTGCGGAGCTTATTTTCTGCAATAATCCGAAATCAAATGAAAAAATTCAATAGGATTTTTGAAAAGGGAACCAAGGCAACGCTAACTAACGTCACCCTACAAAACAAATGTCATCCTTTGAGCACACTATTGGTCCTAAGGTAAATTTGCTACTCTTCAGTTTATTGCAATGTAAATCACCCAGGCCCCATGAAAGCTACTTAGCACTGCTAGTGATGGCCAAATGAGGCTTCATGAACCACTGTCTTTATTTTCAGAAGCCACCAGATGGTGTTGTCTGTTCATCAAAGGTTTGAAAGCACACTTCATTTCCAGTCCTTCAGCCTTTATCTTTAAACCAAGAGCGCCATCTGGTGGGGTCAGAAAATAAAGAAAGTGGTTCATGAGGCTTCATTTGGCCATCACTACCTAGCAGGGCAACTCATTCAACAGTTAATGTTAATGCTAGTAATGTTGTCTGTACCCAAGGGCGTTGCTGTGGAAACATTGTACCCATCCTCGGGTCAGCCTGGCGTGTAATTGTCTCAGTTTTGAGCTGTAAACCACCTTTAGCATTTATCACTGTTAGCTGTGTTAGCATGGGTGCTAACATAGTTACGAATGCTAAAAGGGGTTTTGCGGCTCAAAATGAAGCCAAGACCAGAGGGTGGCCACCATGTTTACACCGCCCAGTGACCAGCGAATGAGCGGTGTTGCTAGCTAGCTTCTACCTGACTCGGATGCTGTGCAGTACAGGGCAGCCAAGGCTAACGTTAGCTAACCAGTGGAAACCCTAGGTTAGGGTACCATGTTAAGGGGGCTTTTAGCAAAACCAACAGAAAATAAAAGACAAGACAGTTAGCTTACATCACAGACATTAAAATTTCACCACCTCTGAATGGAAAGCGCTTTGAAATGTGGAGCTAAAGCTCACTGAGCCAATGGAGTGCCGGACTAAAAGAAAAAGGCCTCTTGTTTTTCATGTTATTTTGTGTTCTTTCCCAAAAATTAACGGCTTAGTTACCGGCTAATGTTTGTCAGGCTATTGAAAGCAAAATTAACTGTTACTGATATTACTTACTTGGTTCTAAAGATGTTAGAAAATCGTGTTAACTGACCATCACAGTACCACAAAGCCCAAGTTTGTGTCATCTAATATTCTGAATGACCAGGCTAATTGTTTCAGTGTCCGTCTCCTGCATCCTGACCCCATGTGACACACACATACAGTACACACATCCACATTCTGCACACAAATTCTTCATAGTGCGTGACACTTGTGCAGCATGACAGCTGTCAGTCCGTTTCCTGTGAGGCTGCATTCCATTCATAGCATCCCTCCTCAGTGTGTGTTTTTTACAAGCTGTTAAACAATCCCAGTTCAGCACAATAGAGGCAAGTTTATTTTATCGTAACAGTAAATTCTCGTCAAGTTTAGTGCCTTTAAGTGTTAGTAACAGTAAAACGTGCCTGTAACCCGGGAGTTAAAGTTGTCATTTTGCAGGTTTATGAGGACATTTTTTGAAAAGTGGGGATTTCCTCAAAAGAGTATGGGGGTTTTAAGAACAGTATGTGTTGTAGTTGTAGGTTTGGCATGGAGTTGTGGTGGTTGGGGGCTGTGGTCCTCACAAGTACACAAGTCTGTGTGTGTGTGTGTGCCTTGACTCAGCTTTTTGGGAGCCGGTCTCCTCTCGTCTCTGATACATATTGATCTGTCTTCTCGGACAGAGATAGAACAAACTGGGCAGCGCAGCAGAAATGTGCTTCCTCTCTCAGGTTCACTTCCTCTCTGTGTGTGTCGGTGGTGTCGGTTGTCCCCCCGCCGCCGCCAGGGGAATGTTTGTGGTTGACTGTTTATAGGCGCTGAGTCAAATACAGTTTCGGGAAGATCAGCGTTAAACTGGTGCAACTTGAAACAATCAAAACAGAAGAAAAACATCCATTTTTTTACATGGACTTTCTCAACCTGTTAGCAAGAGAATCTAATTGTAGCCACACTTTTAATCCTGTATGTTATTTTTAATATTCAAGGAAAAGCATTTCTTTACTGCAAACTGACACCCATGAATTAACTCAAGTTTACCCAAAATGTGAAAGTCTAGTGTTGAGCATGGTCACTTCTGCAACCGCAGGAAGTGGAAACTTCTTTGAGACAAAACTGGACTGGCCAACATCTGATCTGTTCTCTCTCTCTTCCCTTTTTGGTTTAATTCGGTATGAAACATCACAGTTTAGTCAGGGAAGGGAAACGCCAGCGTGCAGTGTGTGTGGCTCACTGACTTCATCATGCAAAAAATAGGGCTGGACTTTTTCCCCAGAATGAAGCAGGACTAAAACATTTTTAGGACCTACATGTGAAAACACTTAAGCAAGAATACTAAACACTACTTGCAAGGTCTGCAGCACCATGGATGACTGTGCCAGATAGGGCCAGGTATGGTTTGAAAATACACCGAGCTGTATGGTTTAGTTCAGTTCGGTACGCTTCTTTTTTCCTCGTTTCCACTGTGAAAAGTTGTGGATGGTACCAATGAAACCGTTCCGTACCGTCCCCATGTTTGGTCCCCCCTCTGTTGGGGTACCTAGCACACAGATCTGGTACTAAAAGGTGGAGCTGTGAATACTACAGTCTGTTGATTGGTCAATAGAGTACGGTCACTCTGCTCAGGGCTGAGTTGTGGCTGGTTTTGAGGCTCACGTAACCACTGTTCATACTGTGGAGAGTTTTATTAATAAACTGTAATGAAAGGATGATGATTCAGGCTCAAACATGATGAGCTTTTTAAGTTGTTAAGTGCCAACACTGAGAAAAGAAATACACAAAATCTAAGGCATAGAAACAGGTTTTTAATTGTTACTTAGCTTATTCAAAAAATAGTGCATGTGTCAAAAACACTTTGAATACTCTGATGCATTTGGCCGTGGCCTTCCTCAGAGGGAGCTGGAGGCTTTTAAAACCTGTGAAGGGAGTCTTGCATTTTGCTTTTGTATGTTTTGTGTTGCGCCAGAGTTACACATGAAACCAAACAGGTTTAATTTGAACACCCACATGCTCTATATATAATTATTTATGTCTCTAAAGAACGAAAATTATGACTCAGCTAATATTCTGTGCTTTTATGCCTCCATGCTGACTATAGCTGTGGCCGGAGGCATTATGTTTTCAGGTTGTCCGTCTGTCTGTCCCATTCTTGTGAACACGATATCCA